TATTAAAAAGGCAACTTCAACCTTTATGTTAAATTCTCCCTTTGATTAGAAAATGCAAAGACCAAGTACATCAAATATTCTAGTTACATAATTAACACATGTGCTATACAGGTAATTATATAACTACATAATTGATCAAGTTATCAGATATCACAGATCATTCAAATATTTATAACTACAGAGAGAATGTGTAAGGATAAATCTGTCCAATCTGTCCAGAGATGACTAATAGGAGAAAATAAACAAAGATGAGAACAATTTATTTAGTTTCTACTTCTAAATTTATTAGAAGTGTATTATCTATTTCTGGGTAGTGCTGTGAATTATTTTATTCTATGTTGTTCTGTATTTTTCAAATTTTCTATCTTATGTATTACTAATCTCCAAAACAAAACAAACAAAAAAAGTAAAAGATTTTTAAAATATTCACTATCTAACTAGATTACCTGCTAGTAGCTGAACCCTCCCTGGGAGGAAGATGACTCCTGCTCCAGGACAGACTCACCCTGAGGCTGCTGATGGCAGTTAGAGGTCACTCTGCCTTCCCTGCTCAGACATTACCTGTCCTGTGAGCTGAGACACCTCTGCTTCCAGGTCCTGTTTCTCGGTGGCAATCTGTTGCTTTTCAGAACCCAATGCATCCTTTTCTCCCTGAAGATCCTGGAGCTTCTGCTCGAAGTCACTTTCCATCTTTTTCATTTCCACCTGTAGCTCATGTCGGGCTGTTAACTCTACATCCAGCTAAAGGAGAAAGGAATCAGGCTCCCAGTAAGCTACCTCAGCAAGAAGCATAGCGCTATTCCCCATAATGTACTGTTTTGTGCCAATCTCTGATCCATAGAGCTCACTGACCCAGGGAATGCCTGGGGAAAAAAGAACACCATGATTCTGACCTGAAAATCATGGATAAAAGAAGGGGAACAAGAGACCATTTCCATAGTTTATCTATTTTTGGAGTTATAATTAAAAAACAAACACTTAAGATTTTAAAGACAATTAATCAGGACAGCCATGGCGTATAATCCCAGTAGTCTCTAGGATCAAAACCTATCAACCATAAAAGGAGTCTTTAACAATTGAAGAGAAAAAGAGAATTCAGATATATTCCAGTTCCTATTGTTCCAGGGATAAGAGGCCCGAGATGCCAAGTAAACCCAAGAGTGCTTTCAGTATTATATGAGTGCTGGCTGTCTTTCCTGTCCTGCCCAGGGGTCCAAAACTGTGCAAAGTCACACTAACTAGCTCCTCATGATCACATTCATATCCACTTGCTGTTGATAACTAGGAACTGTTATCGTGTGCTGACTGCTTTCAAAACATCTCAGGTATGTTTCACAGGTTAGAAATATCATAATCCTTAGAAAAAGAATGATACACCCAATTGTTTTATTCTCTCACACCCACCTTTTTTTCCAGCTCGGTAGCTTTGGCTTCAGATTTCTCTACCTTTGTTTTATCAATCATTTGATCTGAAAAGAAGAAGAGTCAGGAAGTAAAGCTCCCAATTCTCTTGTTTTCCCCATCACTGCCTAAGCCCTTCAATATAACCAGGGCAGTCTTTGGTCCTTTGTTTATTTGTACTGCCCTTCTTAATGTTCTGCACTAAATAAAGAACCTTCAGTTAAGTTCAACATAAGATTCTTATGTGGCTGGTAAGGCCACCATGCTGAATGGCATGAAGAATGCCTACAAGTCTTACTTATGAATTTCTGAAACCAGCCAGAGTCCTCGCTTACAGCTGAAGCCCCTTCAAAAGATGGGGTAGTGTGTGAGAAGGGGTTAAATTTTAAAATTATGTAGAAATAAACTTAAGGCCTATATATTTTTAACACAGATGTTGGTTAACACCTAAGAAAGGGACAACATGGAAATACCTGAGAACCAGAAAGATATCTTCTCTGAAATTTTCACTGGAAGATACAAAACGAAAGGCAGAAGCAATATTTTAAGGAACCAGATGGATGAATACACTTACCAATCAATCCCTCAATATCAATCTGGAGGTGCCGGCACTTGAAGTCAGGATCAGCCCCATTCTTGTGCAAAACTATCTGAGAAATACATTCTTCAATCAACCTATAGTACTGCGGTCTATGAAAGAAATAAAAGGAAAACCACAATATAATTTTCAGAAGTATTCAGGATCAAAAAAAGGGAACTGCTTTGACAATAGAGGGACCTGAGGAAAGTGCTCTGGAAAAGACCTTTTCATAAAATTAACAGAAGTATGGCTGCCATCTAAGAAACCACTTCCACATCAGGTACCCCACCTACTTCAGAGAGTCAAACTTCTTGCCATCTACCTTCTAGTGCCAATCCTTTCCCACCTAAAAACTTGGGCTTGAGCCTTCCTGTCAATGGGCAGTACTACTGCTAAATCTCTACTTTCAGACAACCTAAGAGAACTTTAAATTTACCCCCTTTTGCTATCATCTTCACTCCACACTACCAAAAAAGGAAGGGCATTGTACCTTAGACATTGTGACTTCTTCCATAGAGATGCCTTTCAGTTGGATTAAAGGGACCCCTGACAACTCTCTTTATATCTATGACTAAAAATGAAACCTAATTCTTGCCTTTTCTTTTTCCCTTTACAGACAATCTTTGAACTTAAGGATTTTGTTCTTTCCACTTAGGCTTAAATTCAAAACTTCCCACAGGTATACCATTTTACCTGGCCTCGTAGTCATTTCGGACTAACAGTAGGTGCTGCAGAATGGACAGGAAGTGTGGCTCTGCCTTTGAGTCCTTCACCGTGTTTAAGAGAAATTGGAAGACTTCATTGAAATCAGTGGGAAAGAGGAAGAAGCTAAGGAAAGCATATATTTAGATACTATGAGAGGTGGCTTACCCAACTCTCAGGAAAAGTAGCAAGATGCTCTTCTATTCTAACAGCTGTTCTTCCTATAATTATTGTCTGAAACTTTAAGCTCTATAAACTTCCTTTAGCAAAGGGACCAATGATTCGGTGGTACAATACAGAGATAGAGGATTGCTAGTATTTGGCTTAAAGATCAATCAGAAACTAAAAGATAACTGTCTCAAAGTCACTTGTGGTAAATATCAATAGGTAACCAAATTACTCCCTCTATCAGTTTCAGGAACACATATAAGAAAGCAAATTATAACCCTACTCCCTGACTTGTATATATTCTCTAAAACCAACTCTACATTTTAGTAAGTTAAGCTATCATGTTCTAGGAGGTCTATACTAATTCCGAGGGCTGCTTCCATGCTAAACAACCCTCTGATCACCTTTCCTAACTTTCCTGGTCTGTGCTGAGGTAAATAAATCCAATAGAAATCAAAGACACCTGCCTTATCTACCAAGAAGACATGCATGCTGATGTCATCACCCCCACACCATTCCATGAAAGTATCTACAACTGAATGTTTCCTATCTTGAACCCAGTCAGTTAAAGGATATTCCATCTCCATTCGAATGTCATCCAGCCGTCCCTTCAGGTCATAGGAATCTTCATCCCCTTGCTCATCAAACACAGCTAGTTGCACTCTCATATCATCATTTTCAATCTTCCGAAGACCCTGTCCACAACAAAAATAGAAGTCAGAGAACCCAGAGGTGTCCTATGTTGACTAAAAACCCAAGCCTTTCAACCTAGTTTTTAAATTGAAAACCCAAGTTATCCCTGGGATGACTGAGCTGTAAGAGCAGGAAGGAATCAGTCCAGCCTTTGTAATGAAGGGCTGCATCTCACCTGCAAAACTTGATGCAGCCCCAAGCGCATCAGTTCACTTCGGATGTGAACTCGGAAGTCAAGTTCTTCAGCTGGTGTGATGAGAGCATTGATTAGCTGTAGGCATCCCACCTAAAATTAAAAAATTCAGCAGCTATGTCAGTGTAAACTCCTAAATATAAAGATTTCAATCTTGTTACATGCATTCCGAGGACCCCAAATACAACCTAGAAAATGCTACAAGAATGACTTTTTGCTGGAGCAATACGACCTGGTTTGAGCACAGGTCTGGAGAGCTCAGAGGTCTAAATAATTCCAAGGATTTAATGGTATACTTTGCTCTAGGCCTTGGTTTTCCTAATTTGTGAATAGATATATTTTCCCCATTTCATAATGAGGGACAGTTCTTTCTCTGCCTGCTTGGAGAGAAGGATAATCATTTTCCTTTCCTAACAAATTATAAAATATAAAATATATAGTTGGAAACCATTCCATGTGCTCTATTAAAAGGTCAAATGAACTTAAGTCTTTCCATGTAGAATTCTACTCTTGGGCCCAGTTTCAGGGGATATACATGCCTTGAGTGCAATGGAGGTCTCACTTTTTAATCCATCCAGCAGTGGCTGGAAACGTTCCACCTCATCCATCTCAGCTCTTTCTGTCATGGCTTCCAAAACCCTTTCATTCCTGCCCAGGAGAAAAGAAAGGGAGAGAATTGCCCAGGTGCTCTGACACAGACACACATAGCAAGTAGATTATGCAGGGACATAGATCAGTTAGGAAATGGAACATTATCAGTGTTCTGGATTTCTCACATTATTCTCCTCATCACCTAGAACAGGAGCCAGAATGTGCTGAAAGCTAAGGATGATCTCTTCAGAAAAATGTACCTTAAAACCCATCCCTAGACTCCTACCTATAATTAAGACCCCTGTTCTATGGAATATAAATTGGTACAACTTTTGGAGGGACATTTAATAATACCAATTTTGAATGCACATAACATTTGCCCTATGTGTAGAAATCTATCGAACATAAATGAATAAATGTGAAAGAATAGATGTACAACAGGGGTGGGGGCCTTTTCTCTGCTAAGGGCCATTTGTATATTTATAACATCATTCTCGGGCCATACAAAATCATCAACTTAAAAATTAGCCTGCTATTTTGGTCAAACATTTAATTAACCCTCCCCTAATGCCTTGGCAGCACCAGACTAAATAATTTCACAGGTCTTATACGACCCGCTGGACATTCCCCACCCCTGATGTACGACGGTGCTCATTATAGAATCATTTGCAACAGTAAAAATTCTTATCACCTAGAGCAAGAGCCAGGTATGCTTTAAAAAATGAAAAAATTGTTAAATAAATTATGCAACATACAGAATATGGAATGTTAAATAGCCAGGAAAGATATCAATAAATGTTGACATAAAAGAATGTCTAAAATCTCCTGTTAAATAAAAAGAAACAAGCTGAAAAAAATTAATGGTATGATTTAGCTTTTGTTAAACACCTCCACAAAAAATAAAAATCTATATTATACATGGAATCGGTTTTGTAGGCAAAAGCCATTTTTTCTTAGTTCTAGAATACCATCTTTTGGAGTGGTATAAGATACCTTAGAATCTAGGAAATGCAATATATTTTTCTGTGCTAGAAAAAGATATATGAGACAGTATCAAGTCATTAACAGTGGTTATCTCTGCAGAATAGGATTTGCCAAAGGCATAAGGTTGGTAAATTTTATTTTATATATTTCTGTGTTGTTTGGACTTTAAAAAATAATATTGTGTTGCTTCTGATCTTTTAAAAAAAAAAAAAGGAAAAAGAAACCCTTGTCCCTAGACAACACAGATGGAGATCTGGGAGCTATTTGACTATAACCAGTGGTACATTCAGGATAGCCCCCTTCACTTAACAATCTTCCTTAAATATTAAGATTCACGGTGTTCATGTTTGAGAAAAAATACATATTTAAAACCAAGTGGCCACCCAAGCAACTCAATTTTCCTCTAGACTAGGGAAGATGGTAAAAAAGAGAATGGAGAAGAGAAATAATTCATCACATACATGTCCTCTGGCTGTGGTAGGATACAAAGAGCAGAAAGCAGCTTAGCTGCATCAATCATCATGTTGGGAACAGCAGGATCCATGGCTCTGACCAGCAGCAGGATTCCTTCTTCCGTCTCTAACATGGTCTTGATTCCAAACTGGCACGACAAGAACAGAGAAGGGAGGCTTAAAGATGACAGCATCTAACACAGGACATATTTAGGAGTCATTATGGTATTTCCCTCCAAAATTCATACATTGAAGTTTTAACTCCCAGTTACAACAAGGTCATATAAGAATAGGGTGGAGTCCTAAATCCAATGACTTGTCCTTATAAAAAAGGGAAATGTGGACATAAACATGCACACAAGGAAAATGCCATGTGAACATGAAGGCAGAGGTTGGGGAGACGCATCTACAAGTTGAGGAATGCCAGATGCTGCCAGCAAGCCACTAGAAGCTAGGAGAAAGGCAGGGAACGTACTCTCCCTCACAGCCCTCAGAAGGAACCAACCCTGCCAACACCTTGATCTTGGACTTCTAGTCTCCAAACTGTGAGACAATAAATTTCTGTTGTTTAAGATACCCAATTTGTAGTACTTTGTTACAGCAGCCCTAGCAAACTAATATAGGGGTAGAATACTTTCCCCAATGGAGCCAAACAGAAATTAGCATGGCAAAGTAATTTTCTAGTAGATTCACAACAGACTTCTATGTCTTCCAAGAGTTAAAATCTTGGATTTTTATGTTTCTTTTTAATGCCCCCCCCCAACCCAATGAAATAAGTTAATTATATCAAAATTAAACAGTGAGGAAGATAGATTTGTACTCAGGAACAAATAACCATGGGCTCCCTGGTTTTAAATACAAAAGAAATGAAGGAAAGGGAAGGGAAGAGAAAGGGAAAGGGAAAGGGAAAGGGGAAGGGGAAGACAGAGGGAAAGGAGGAAAGTAGGGAGGAAGGGAGGGAGGGAGAGAGAGGGAGGGAGATTTTAACAGTATGACTGTCTGGAAAAACAAACCCAAACATAAACCTTTAAAAAACAATGACTATAAGTCAGGAAATTTAAGAATTAGCAAAAGAAAACTATAAAAAGAAAAAAAAAATGACCCTACTCTCTGAAACACATTACACCTGGGGGGAAAGGGTCCAAAGAAGCATGTATATGTGGCAATCAAAAGTCATAATACTAAAAGGGAAAGCTAGAAATCTTGAACTTCATATTCCTAAGTCCTTTTTGGAGTTTGCCAATAGAAGAGAAAGAATAGGGGTCATGATGGGGTTGCAATGGGGGGAAAATCTCACCTTGTTGTTCATAAAAGCTTTCAAGCAGCGAATGATCTCATGCTTGTTACGGCTATCATAGCTCCTGCGTGTAGAAAACATAATCACTGAAGTCCCCTTATTCTATACCCCTCTCCCATTTGACTTTTCAGTCTTACAAACAAGGGTCTAAGGAACATCCCCAACTAGTATCTGAGTAAATTCTAGCCCATGGCACTTTGCTGTGAAACACTGGCAAAAACAGGTAGCTAAAGATTAACCTTTGGTTAATCCTCTCAAAATCCAAAATTTAGTATTACATTAAAATCTTCCCATTAATTGCCTCTAAGCTCCAAAGTACTAAATTCTATCAGGATAATATTCCATCTATTACTACTTAAAGTCTGTATTCAGGAGGTATAGGCCCTGTGTCTTGTTTTTGAAAGATTCCAGGAAGTAAAGAAGTTGCTTTGGATCAGGCTGGCTTCAAGGAAAGCTAAGACACTCTAAGGTATCCCTAGGATTATTCTAACCCTGAAGACTGTCATAAAGCTAGTTCTGAACTGATGAAGTGCACTATAAGACTTCCAGATTAGATATGACCCAGATCGGATCACAGGGGAGCTCTAGACTAAATCACACCCGATTTCCAGATGAGATAAGAACCTAGGCTGAGACTCATAATCTTATGTGGTATATATCCTGTGTTATTCACCAGGAAATTTAAGTTTCTCCTCCTTTTCCTGTATCTATAATCATCATTCTTCCTCTAGTCACCCCTATGATAAACCCCATTCTCAGCTAACAGCATATTCCCCTAGTCCAGTGGTCGGCAAACTCATTAGTCAACAGAGCCAAATATCAACAGTACGATTGAAATTTCTTTTGAGGGCCAAATTTTTTAAACTTAAAATATATAGGTAGGTACATTGTTATTAACTTAATTAGGGTACTCCTAAGCTGGCCTTTGCTAAAAACGTCCTCAATCTGATTGAGGTACATTCGCTGAGATCAACCCTTTCCAACTCTCCCATCCACACTCGTCTTGTATACTTGTTTCGTCTATCTCCTTTCCGAAAACCGACTTCTGCACATGGGCCACGAAGTTTCAATCGCATTGTACGTGCGCACCCACACGTGGTATTTTGTGGAAGAGCCACACTCGAGGGGCCAAAGAGCCGCATGTGACTTGCGAGCCGTGGTTTGCTGACCACTGCCCTAGTCCATAACTTTACATTTAACTGCTATTTTCTCCTTTAAAGCAAATAGCCAAGTCCCCTACCACTCTCTACCTAGAAGATGTCAAAACTTGGAAGTCCTTACCCAGCAGTCTCCTCTTTCTCATCATGGAGTCGTTTAAGGATGTCCAGCAAGGAGGCCAGGCCCTCAGCACCAAATGTTTGCACCCAGCTGTAAGGAACAGACATAGACAATGCAATATTAAATCACATCAATAAATTCATCGGTACAAAAACAAAGTTTATCCTGGCAACTCCTTACTCCCTATCTAGAACATTTTCATACTTCCCTGACTCTATTCATCATCAGTCCCCACCAGTGAACTCTAACCCTGAGCTCTTACTCCTGATACCACCTCAAAATCTCACCTGACAGGGTTGTTGTTGAGGGAGACACGAAGGGACTCCAGGCAGCTGAGCAGAGACATATCCCGCAAGCCTGACCTCAACTCCTGAATGTACATCATGGGAGACCGAGAGCTCTCCTTTTGGCTCATGCCCTAGACAGGAGCATAGAGAGAGATTAGTAAACCCTGGACCCAGTCATAAACTGGACTAGTATTAGTCAATACAGTTTAAATAATATCAAGGCAGATACCCATCATACATACCACCAAACTATGTGAGACTCAGAATTTCTCATCCCATTCCCCATATACACTTCATGAAAATTGAATCAGACAAAAAGTATGTGAGATTGATAACTTAAGTGAAAGTACAAAACAAGTAGGCTTGTATAACAGAATGAAACAGAACTGATACAGACATAAAATGTTCTAGGAAACTGGCAAAACAAACAAGTCCAAGATAAGGGCAAAGTGTGTCATGGGGTACCTGCCCCAGAACTCACAGCCTTGGAGGTGTGCAAGTATTGGGACACCATCTCCCTCTTGATAATAATGTCCTTCTCTCTCAAAGGTTGCTGTTTCTCCTCATTCAGGTTCATATCCACCTAGTAGAGGAAAAAGGGAAAAAACAAAATTGCCTCAACTTCCTTACAAGTTTTCAGTGTTTAATATTTTATATACTTAGTGAAGAGTTGAACACATTAAATGCTTATTGAATAAATAAATTTTCCTGATCCCTAGAGATTTCAGCCATTACAGATGATGAACATTCCTCAGGGACAGATGTGGTTAATATTTTAGTATAAATCCTTGTAGACATTTTTATACATACTAGAGGCCAATGCACGAAATTCGTGGAAGAGGCTCGGTCCCCACCTACACTGCGGCGCCGGCACCGCAGAAGCTGCCTCTACCTCAGCCCTCGCCGCCTGCCGAGGCAACAGCCCCGGCTTCGTCCGGAAGGTCATCCGGAAGGACATCTGGTCTAATTAGCATATTATGCTTTTATTATTATAGATACACTTAACATTTTCCTAATAAAAATGGACTCAATATTAAATGAAAATTTTATTTGTACTATATTGAATGAAAAGCACACATGTTTTTTGCACTATGGATGGACCTTAATAATCTCTTAGACTGAAGTACTGAGTGACTGACATCATTCAAACAACAGCAAAATCGACACCAGCCAATTCTACAGCACTAGGGCCTAAACACCCATTATCCCCACTTCACACAGTCCACTGGAAACTGTGAAAAAGCTCCTCAACAGACATAACCTGCAATGTGTTATGGGAGAAAGGCTCTACTTGAGCCTATGACATATATGATATGTATGAGCCTATGTGTCTGAGCCCAGCATCTCAGTGAGCACAAGTTTAACCCTAAAAAGTCCAGAATATTATTTGAAATGAGGCAAACACAGGGGAACAATAGATATAATCTGTTTTTTCTTGGTGTGTTTGTGTGTGTGTGAAGGGGGGGGGGTCACTGCTCCCAAACAGCAGTATTAATTTGACATTTTCTGACTCAATTCCTGGTGCTTTCCCCTTCATTTTACAGCTAAATTGAACACAGAAGTTGCCAACTGCTGGCCTTCACATTGAATCAGACCCAAAAATAAAGTATGTTTTGCTTGACTAGCTCAACATTTTAAATTTGGGAAACTTCAAATAAAAATATGAATTTCTAGTATCAAATTTCAGATTGTATGAGAAACTCTACAAGTCAAACTGTTTCTATAGAAAAACCTATAGATTAAATGAAACTTAAGGGGATATTAAGTATAATGGACCTTATATGGAATTGTGATTTGAATTAAAAAAGTATTTTTTTAAATGACCTAAATGGGGAATTCTGGATGTTAGCTATGATATTTGATGCTATTAAAGAATTATTGTGGTGGGGGTTTTTATTACAAATTTCTAGCTTCTTCTAAAAATAGAATATCTGCCACTACTGCACCAGTATTCCCAACTGGAATGCTACAAAACCTATAGGAACTAACAAAAATGCCAAAAGTCTTTCTTCATTTTACCACAGTCCTCATTTTTATCATCTTCTATTAACTTATTTATGCTACCTCCCTGGCCCTAAAGACATCTAAGTTTGTAATCCAGCAAGGAGACTGTCTCAATAGATCACACTCAGACTCTTAATGTACTTGGATTACTAAGAGATGAACTAAAAGCTTCAGTGAAAAATAATAGTAGTACAGGTTGAGTATTTACTATAAACCAGGTCCTATCTTAAGGATTTTAAGCTCACGCTTTTAATTAAGTGAGGCCTGCACCAGTCTCTATTTGAATCTGAGATCATATATCCAGGCATTATACGAGTCTTATGAAATCTTGAAAGCACGTACTCAAAACTTTCCAAGACTTATCACTAATGGACATTCACCGAGTGTCCTCCCCACTCAGTGTTCCTCACTAAGAACAGCAAAGTAAGCCACATCCATGTATAAGTCATTATTTAACTGACTGCAGTCACAGCCTTTAAAGGTCTTCTTAGTGAATACAGCATCAGAATTCTCTTTCTAGATTCACCATTGAATAGAAGACCTTGGGCAAATGATGCCTTTCCATCCCTCAGTCTCTTCTTTGTACAGAGTTCGCTGTGAATGTTTCAACACTTCATCTACTCTGGCTAACCCAGGTCTCTACACTACCACAGGAACTGACCCACTCCCCCTAGGTCTTTGTGGCTAAAGTGTTGCTGGGCAGAAATACATTAACAAGGTGGTCAGTGATCAGACATTTCCAAGCCTAACTCACAGATTCAAATCTTATATACTGGTGCTTATATATTTAGTCCCTTCATTAATGGAACTGCTAGTAAGAAGTTCCCTGTTAAGCCTGGAATTCTTTGTAATTAAGGGTTAGTTAGAGGGAATGTGCACCAAAAAAGGGCCCACTATGCCCAAATGCATTATCAGAAAGAAACAACATTTTTGGATGGGCAACTTACCAGCATCTGTTCAAAAAGTATTAAAACTTGCTCATCTGAAATATCTTGCAATGACTGTGCTGAGGGATCATCCCCGTATGATGAATTTCTATGAGAAGAATTGGGCTTTTCCTTCTCCTTCTTAATTCTCATGCTGGTAAATCTCTCCAGCTGAGAAAGAGAAAAAAAGTATTAGCAGCGATCCATTTTCACATACACATTAAATAGCCACTTCTACACACATGATTCCTCTGGTTTGTGATTAGTCCAAGATTCTTCTGGCATTAATAAAACAGCCTTCTTCATATCTAATATCTAATTTAGTATACTGACTCTGTACTCTCATCTTTACACAAAAATAAAAGGACTGGAGTATTAAGATTTGGAACCTCTCTAAAAAGAGAAAACTTTGTTCTTGAGCTCCCTTGCCATTTCTAGTAGCACAGAACTGAAAGCATTTCACGTACTGAGCTATCTCAATTAAATGCCCTTTGTTTCCCTCTAGCTATCCAATAATATATCTGGCCAAGCCCTCAGAGGATCTTTCCCTTCCAGAGGTAACCATGACCACAGATTTTAATAGACGTAAGTTACAGAGAATAAATGAGCCTTAAAACAGGAGTGGGGAATGTTCAGCCTGTGGGCCATATAAAGCCCTCGAAATAATTTGGTCTGGCCCTGCACCAAGGCATTAGGGGTGAGTTAATTAAATGTCTGACCAAACACAGCAGGCTAATTTTTAAGTTGATAATTTTGTATGGTCCAAGAATGATGTTATAAATATCCATATGGCCCTTAGCAGAAAAAAGGTTCCCCACCCCTGCCTTAAAACCAGAAACCATTCCTTTTTCTTTCTTCTGTACATGCCGTAGCATTTGTTTTAGGTAGGCAGCAAAAGTTCAATACATATTCTTCAAAATCCCCTTGCAAAGAATACTATGTAATTCAGGGGTATATATGCCACCTTTCTGCCAACAAAATGCTCATGAACCATTCCTCAAACCTCAAGTAGAGTTGCTCAAATAAAAAAGTCACCGATAAGCTGCAGCTTGTCAGCTCTACCTGTTTGAAAATAATAGTAACAAGTATCTGCAAGCATTATGGAGCTTCAAATGATATGAGTGGCATCCAGACTGCAAGTTCGCTTGAAGTTTAAGGAAAGTGAGCCCAGCTGGTGTGGGCCAGTAGTTGAGCATCGGACCCATGAACCAGGAGGTCATGGTCAGAGCACATGCCTGGGTTGTGGGCTCCATCCCTAGTAGGGGTCATGCAGGAAGCAGCTGATTGATAAATTTCTCTTGTCACTGACGTTTTTATCTCTCCCTCTCGCTTACTTTCTGAAATCAATAAAAAATATATTGAAAGAAAGAAAGCGGTAATTCTGGAAGCCATTGAGTGTGCCAGGGAAATGCATGCAATGAGCCAAACATAGAGCAAAGAGTTAGGAAAATGCTTTGGGATGCTCTGAGAGCAGAACTTATACCACTTACAAGTTATAGAAAACCAAAGTTATAGTTACTGGTAAATATCGCAATGTAGAAAATGAGCTAGAACATGCACATGCTGAACAATATTTCCTTACCTCATCTGCCATGAGTCGCTTCAGAGTCTAGGAAATGGGAAAAAGGAGGGAGAAGAGAGATCAGTGAAATGCCAGGAAACTTCCCAAATACCAGATGAGTTGGGAGAAAAAAGAAGAGAAAATTCCTTGAAAGGATCTAAGTGACTTCCCACAAGCTAAAAGATTTCTGCTCAACTATTCCTTAGCACATTCTCTTAAGAGGCAGGAAGAATTTTAAGATCACTAACATATGGCTCATTGAAGAAAAAAGAAAGAGATGGCAACCTGAAAAGACTCTGAATCCAATGAACAATAAACCTATGAAACGTGCACAATTTTATTGGTAAACAAGGAAATGCAAACTAAAACTACAATGAGATATCGTTTTGCACTCACCAAGACTGGCAAAAATGTTCAAGTCTGTCAGGTCACAGAGCAGCGGAAGCTCTCACACATAGTTGGTAATGTAAATTGCTATGGCCACTTTGGAAAATAGTATGAGCATTATCTAGTAAATTTAATATTCTACACCTCAACAAATTGATTTTTATATATCTACTCTGTAGAAACTTGCACATATATAGCAGGATGCATTTAATGAGACTGTTCACAGCAGCAGTATACTATCTAAAACAGAGAACCATCCAAATAGCCATAATGACTAGAACGGATAAACTGGTATATTGGTACAGTGGAAATTGATTACATAAAGAAAATGAGCCCTAACCAGTTTGGCTCAGTGGATAGAGCATCAGCCTGCGGACTGAAAGGTCCTGGGTTCGATTCCGGTCAAGGGCATGTACCTCGGGTGCAGGCACATCCCCAGTAGGAGGTGTGCAGGAGGCAGCTGATAGAAAACGAATGGCCCTGACCAATGTGACTCAGTTGGTTGGAGCACTGTCCCATACACCAAAAGGTGGCAGGTTCAATTCCTAGTCAGGGCACATACCAGGTTGCAGGTTTGGTTAGTGGCAACCAATCAATGTTGCTCTCTCACATTGATTCCTCTCTCTCTCTCTCTCTCTCTCTCTCTCTCTTCCCCCCCTCTCTAAAAAAATCAATTAAAAAAAAGTGAGTGAACTTACGGTTACTCACAAAGATGAATGTATTATTTAACTTACACTGAGTTTAAAAACATGTAAAACTAAATTATATTATTTAGGATATAAAATTATATTCACAAATGTCAAAAAAGTGGATACTTGGGGTGGGTGAAAAGTTGTGGCTGCAAAAATAAACAAGAGGGCTTCTTGAGGGCTTACAATATTCTACTTCTTTACATGGATGCTGGTTATATAGGTGTTTGGTTTATAATTATCCTATGTGTTTTATTTTCTCTTCTGTATACATGCTATACTTTACTTAGAAAAAGTCTGAATGAGCAGGTGTGGGAAAGCAGGAATTCTTCTTCACCCTAATAATTAATTTTTAAGCCATGTTCTTTTGCTAATGTCCTTAGAAGAGTATAGTGAATACCTTTTGACCTTCCTCAAACCTCTGACACTGCCACAAAGCTATTTTACAAACTTTTTTATGGACAAGAAAAATCTGTATCATTATGTTCATGGTCCCCATTTCAGAGTTCTCAGTTAAATCCAGTTAAACTGTGAATCTTAATTTTGCCCTCCATGGTTGAGGAAGTCAAGCTTCCACTGACTGAGTGCTAATCATTTGAAACTATAAGAACTTTGCTCAGCATCAACAGAATTTAGTTACTTGATGTGTGCTGCATACTGGGGAGTGAAGACAGAAGGATGATGAAGGAGAGACAGCAACACCCAAGTAGACTAGCAGTTCCTTTGATCACCACCCTAGTGGTCTGGCACAGAGAAGTGACACAAGCCACAAAAAGTATGAGTTGAGTGTGTATAGTTTAGGTTGCCATTGCCAAGGTCAAACTTATTTGCTCTGAGACCAATTGCTTCCAGCATCTTGTTCTCCAAACACAAAGTGTTCCCTCAGAACCAAGCAAAACCTAAACAATTCTTGGATGGATGTAAGTAACATAGGTAACAGAACCTGGATGTAATAAATCAGTGCCAGCTGGATTGTTCAGATTCAGGGAAACCAGCAACCTGTTCCTTCTGTTTACAGACTCTTGTTTCTCTTCCATCCATCCTCACTACTACTACCCAAGTTCACGCCATTATTATCTCCTGCTTGATTTATTGCAACAGCCTCCTAACTGATCTCCCTGCTTTCAGTCCCATCTGCACCACACCAACTCCATTCTCCATATTATATATTCAAGAGTAATCTTTCTAAAATGCCAAATGGTCCATGTTATTCCCCACTTAAAACCCTTCAATAGCTCCCCACTGCCCTCACTCACATCAAAATCCAAATTCCTTAGCAAGGCATATAACATTTCTGGCTTCTTTCCCTCGACTTATCTCAACAAACCCTCCACCTCAAACTCTTCTGGGCATCTTGAACCAGCCACAGGTTCCAAGCAGATCATGCTGTCTCACCACCGACTTTCCCCAGGCTGCTGCTTCCCTCAGCCTACTATGTCTTCAAGGCTAACTCCAAGATGCCCTATATGATGACACCTCCTCTAAGTGGACAGGTACTGTCCTTTGTGTTTCCATAGTAATAGGTACTTGTTTGTCACACAGCACTAGTAGAGGATTACAACTGTCTTTTGATTGTCTGCCTCCTCTATCTTTTTCCAGACTCAGTTCCTTCAGGGCAGAGCCTGAGACTTAGTCATTACATCTTCTATGAACAAATAACATAACCTGGGGCTGCTTGCCTAAAATAACAATCCCTGGAGAAGCCCTCAAATTATATTCCTCCTCTTCACTGTATCAGTGAAGAAACTGAAGCTCAGACAGGTGGAGTAAATCATCGAGATCACATGATTAGGGGCAAGCTGGGTAGGAGCTCCAGTCTCCAGATTCCAAAGCCCAAATAGCTGTATTCCCCAAATTCTTCTGCCTTGTCCCATTTAATGCCCACTAACTCTTGCCTTTAGATACAAAAGTAAACATATTTTCTTAAGAAGAAAGATAAGTTTCCCTTGGTGTATCATTAAAAACAGATTTAATTCTTTAAAAAAAGTATCCATGTTTTAGTTCTCAGTTTGAGTAAGGAGAGCAAAAAATGATCCATGCAGGATAAAAGCTGCATTTCCTCAACTAGTCCAAGAGAGGGCAGCAACTACCAGCAAAAAGAATCACAGACTAGACAAAATTCTGTTTCAGAACCCCTTATAACACCTGAACAGCAAGCCCAATTCAATTATCGAAATGGAACTTTCTGCTATAGTATATTGAGGGTGTATGGTTTATTTATATAATACTGTATATCTTCCTTAGAGATCCTATGTATACTGGTTGCAAACAGTAAGTTTTTAAAAAGTTGTATCATTAGTGGTTTTATGGATTCTCTGAGATAGCAAACAAGAAGTTCCTAGATTATGAAAAGTAAAAAGAACTGCTCTGGGTGGTGTGCTCAGTTGGTTGGGCATTGAAAGGTTGCTGGTTCAATTCCTGGTCAGGGTACAGGTCTGGGTTTCGGGCTTGATCCCCAGTGGGGGGCATGCAAAAGGTAGCCAGATCAATGTTTCGCTCTGACATTGATGTTTCTCTCTCACATTGATGTTTCTCTCTGTCCTTTCCACTCTCTCTCAAAATCAATTTTAAAAATCTTTTTTTTAAAAAAAACTTTTTAATAAGGACTCTAATAATTTCAACCCTCTAAATGCTTCCACTCTCACCACTGACCCTGTTGACTGTCAATTCTCTTCTGTCCCCAAACCAACCCCTTAACTCTCCTAGCCTGTCTGCACTAAATACTTCATCTTCCTGTCCCTCCTATTGAATTTTCCACTAAAACTTTAAACTGCAAATATAGATACTAAAGGATGTATAAATACTTAATAAAAAATATTTAATATCAAAATCTGCTCATGAAAACAGATTAATAGAAACTTCCACGTACATATTAGCATAACCAATGGACATAGACACTGGGTCTGTGGGA